TCAGGGTGTACACACACACACACAGACAGAGACAGAGCTTTGGCTGGTTGTTGGATCAAATTGCTTGCCCGTGAGGAGAGTTGGTTGTCCCGGTGTGCCTGAACGTGTACCGACCGCCATGATTGGTTGGTTGGCTGATTGATCGGTGGCTCCTGGGATCCTCAAAGAGCCTCGAGCACGTGAAGCCGTGAAACGAAGCCTTGCAACCATCACTGAGCAAGATTCCGATCAACGCACGTCGCGGTTTGTGGGGATCTCGTTTCTGTCTTCCTGATCTGACTGATGCAGTAGAAAATGCGGTAGCTCCATGGCGCTATGACGCGAACAGAACCACGAAGGGGGGAGCTTGATTCGTGCTGGAGCTTTTATGCAAGCTGCAAGCAGACACGCAAGCTGTGGAGCCCTTTCCTTACTTGCAGCTGAGGCCCAAGCCGGGCCTAGAGAAACGAACCGTCAACGAGCCCCCGCTTGCATGAGATTCTCATCCCCTTCAGCCCCGAGCGACAGCGAAGCATGGCTGGCGGTCAGAATGTTCGAGGACGATGCCAGCCTCCACATGGCTTGAGCACTTAATCAAGCAAGATCACATGGCCTCCGCTCGCCATCGGATGATCAGAGCATGCCCAAGCCTCCCTGGCACACTGCCAGAGCTCGTGGATGACCGCACCCAGCGCTGCAGCCTGCAGGAAGCTTCTGCGCAAGGAGCACAGGTGACAAAAAGATGCTGAGGGTCCACACCCAGTGCTGCACAGGCGTGGCCGAGTCGTGCAGCATGTTCTCATTGAAGTCCATGCCCTTGACACCCTCCAGAAGAGAGTGAGGCACATGACGCAAGGGCACCAGGATGCGCGCCATGTGCCCTGCCTGCTCCAGCCAGGGCGGCTGCCAGCCCGCCAGGACCTTCCAGCCAACAACGCCCCCACGTCTCCCACGTCTTCCCACTCTACTCCGAGAAGGCTGGGCTCGCCGGGCCCCGCCGCAAAGATCGTCGGTGCCTGGAAAGAACACACTTGTTTGGCAAAAATGCCGCGTCCTTTTGGCTCGGAGCCATCGGCCCAGGCCTGCCAAAGTCTCCTGCAGCTCCTGACTCCAAGGGCAGCAGCTGAGGGGCAGTTCTGAGGGGCCCTCGCAGCCGAAGCGGGAGTCCTCGTCTTCGAGCAGTTGCCTTGCTGCCTGGAGTAAAAGCACGGCCTCATGTCGAGCCAAGGCCTCGCACTGAGAGGTCTCGCCAGGGCTGTGGGACGAATCAAGAGCCTCAACCGACCCTGGCACGGGTAGGCACTTTCTTGCGAGCCTCGCTGTTGGAGGCATCCTCAGTCGTCGCCTGGTGCCTTGGGAAGGCACCCCCCAAAGCGCTTTTCAACGCATCGTTTCTGAATGCAAAATCTCAGCAGTGGGCATCCTAGCGTCGCTGGAGTCCTCGGCCTCCGGCGTGCCTGCAGGGACTCAGGGACTCAAAGCACCACAATGTGTCCCTCTCTCTTTAAGCGGTCAAGAGACATTTCAGGCCGGCAGGGTTCGCCACCCATTTCTTTCATGCGGCCGGGGTCTGCATGCTTGCAGCATTAGTGTAGGAGTATCAGCTGTTGAGTCACAGCGGACATTGCCATTCGAGTGGGAGCGCGTCTTGAGGATCTGTGCACAGAAATGCAAGACTGTGTAGCAGCCTGGGCCCAAACGCCTGCCACAGTCTCTCAAGCGTCCCACGGACGGAGGGATCCGATTATTTTGCGGGCGGGCTGTGGACCTAGAAGCTGTGGCAAAGAGATGCAAAGAGGCCGAAGTAAGTGCTTTCAGGGCTTCAGGAGTCTTTTGTCACCTGCGCGCTGGAGTTTAGACTCCACCCCATTCCGAAGGTGGCGGTGAAACCATAATCATCCTAGCTACACTTGAATGCTTATGGGCCTAGTGACGGCTGTGACACGCTGTGACCTAGGCTCCGTCAAGCAAAATCAATATGGGCTTGTGTTTGGGTGTCAAATTCAGGAGGCCAGTGGTACAATTGCGGGGTTTTGCTATAGAAATCCTACATGACCCTAGCTTATGGTAGTCAAAAGGAAGGGCTTCGCAGTGGGAGCACTTCCCTTGCGACACGGATCACTTTCTCCTTCTGGACCTGGATCTGGAGCGCTTTTTGTCTCGATCCTTGACGGAAAACTGCCACTGAGAAACGGCTGCTACGCTGCAAGCTGAGGCCGTGGCTCGATCCCTATCTCTTCGGTCCCTGTCCCGTTCCTTCGGACGTTCCTTCTCTTTCTCCTGCGATATGAGAGACCAGAGCGAGAGAGAGCGAGAGGACCACGGTGACCGTTTAGACTCAAGGGCAGGTCCTCGCGCGGATCGTAGCTACCTCTCGCAATACCCAAAAAGCGGGTGTCTGCGGTGTTGAGGCTTTGCGGCAGAAGGAGAGTTTCGGAGGCAAAGGCCTGGCAGCCCCAGCGACTTTGGAGCCACTGGGAGCTTTCCCATCGTGTCCAAGCCCTGGTGAAGGAAAGTGGAGACAAGGCAGTCAAAGCCCAGTAAGGTTCTGAAACTCCAATGCCCACATGCATCGTTGTTTTCGTGTGCCCCGCCTGGAGGAGTGTCATGAGCAATCCAGAAGGTCTTTCAGCACTCGCCAAGCGAACATCAATGGCTTTCAAGTCCTTTTCCACAGAGAGGCAACACTCAAAAAAGAGAGAGCAAAAGAGAGCCTCAAAGCCTGGAGGCCCCCCGCAGTGCTGGCCTCCTGCATCGTCTTTTTCCTCTTCCGCATGCTTTCCACCAAGCGCTGAGTCGCTCGGTCCTGGAGCAGCGGCCCGGTCTCCCGGTGCCCCGTTTCTCTTCTTTTCTTTCTCCCCCCCCAAAAAAAAATCGAGCCGGCTCTGCATCTAGCTTGTACTTGTTTACCACCGCCATCATGTCCTCAGTCAGAGCAAAGCTAGGAGAGTGCAACAGATGCAACAGCACGGGCAAGTTGGACCTTGGGAAAGGCTCAGGGCTTCGGAAAGTTGGAGGCCGAGTGGCCGGGTGGATGTTGGATCGCGTGACGAAGATGCCCCGGTCCAGCTGAGTAATCAGCACGCCGATGTCGGGCCGCTCCTACCCACGATTCTGCCTTCTCTGGCCTACACCTTAGCTGCCCCAGCCGTGAGCCGCTCTGAGAGCCTTGGAGAGCCGGGACCGGACGGTGTTCAAGTCTTCCTCGAAAGTGTCCGGCCGCCGCATCCTCAAAGCCCATCCGCGGATTCTGAAAGACGCCCCCTGGCTTCGCATTGCTTTGCCTTTTGGAGCTTTCAGGCGCCCACATGACGTCGTTCAGCTTTCGCATGAGCCGGTCCTAGCCCAGACACACGGCGGAGCAACATCGGTGACGCGCGGCTGTCGGCGCTCTCTCCTCGATGCCATAATCGCGACAAAGCTCCCTGACCCGGTTGTCTATGGGCCTCGATAACACGCAAAATGTACTCCGATGTGCCCAGAGGTGAATCTCCTCCAAGGTCCGGGCGACTCCACTTTGTTTGGCTCTTCTTTCTTCTCTCCAGCTGCTGCCAAGCCTGTGTCAAACTCCAGCTGCTCGCACTTTTTGCCCTGCTTTTCCGGCCCACCTGCGGCGCCCCCGACACCACCCATCATCATAGCCATCATGGGGTTGGGCATCATCATGGATGCCAAGAGCATCGGGTTGGCACCTGGCAAGAAGAGCAGCCTTTAGCGAGTGCCTCCAAAGAAGCCCCTTTGGCCTGGCAGCATTCCGGGCATCATGCCTGCCCCCACGCACGCACGCACGCACACTGCAGAGCTCTCTCTTTTTGGCCTGGCATTGCCATCCCCGGCAGCATCCCAGGCATCATCATGCCTGCTCTTCTAAGGGAAAGCTTGACGGCGAGTGCGGATTCCGATGCGACTGACCTGTAGCTCGGCGGGATTTGGAAACCCATGGCATTGCAAAGCCAGGTGCGGCAAAACTTCCCTGGCTTCCCTAACCCACCCAAGGCGGGCCCGGAAGCATCGGGGGCACCACGCCAGGTGCCGTCGGCGCACCGGCAGCTGGTGCCTCTGCCGGGGCGCTCGAGGCACTGGGCTCGTTCGCCTGGCAGAGCACAGCTCAGAGCAGCTCAGTGCAGCTCATCCGGACGCGCGGGCTGCGGGCCCACTTGGGCCTGGACGTCCGCCCCGGGCCAGACGAAGTCTTCGGCTCCCGCCATGGCGTCCGCCCGCCCTCAGCCCCTGGCAGAGGCGAGATGGAAGGCGAGAGGGGAGTGAGGAGAGAAGGATGGTGTATATAGAGGCTTGAAGGCTCTCTTCTTCCGTCGTTTCGACGTCAGAACTTGATCCCCGCGCCTCTCCAAGAGTCCTCTTTGAGTGCTCCCAGGCCCGACCTCACTTGCTGATACTTGCAGTCGCGTTTGCCGTCCCTCCGAAACAGGGGCCCCAGGCTTTTAGGAAAAGGCGGGCCGCCTGAAGGCAAGAGGTTTGCTTCCTGGCATGGACTTTGGGCTTTCTTGAGCCGGCATGGCTGCCCCGCGCCGCAGAGCAAAAGCCAAGACTGGCACTGCCTGCTGCCTGTGCCGCTACCCATAGCAAAAAGAGCCCTGGGGCACCGCTCCAGCCGATCCATGCTCTATGCCGACTCTCTTTTTTTCACCGCGGTGAGACGTGCATTTTACATAAGGATCCGGTACTTCTCCTCGTCCGGGACCCGATTGACAACCTCGATTGCTCGAGTGCGTACACTAGCTGCATCCTCAGCCATCTCCTGCGTGGTGTTGCGCGATCAAACGCTGAGGATAAAGCCAGCTTCCCGTCGAATGACACAGAGGCGAAGACCCAAGCATCTGAAGAGCTCCAGCAGCAACTGTAACATGAGTCCTCTAACAACACGTCCGTGTCAGGTCACATCTTCTTTTCTTTCTGAAGGCAAGAGTCAGGCTGCCTCCCTCCCACCCGCCATCACATTGTGGCTCTCACTCCATCTCTCTCTTCCTGTGACTCCTCGTGCTCCTCATACTTCCGGACCAGTCCGTCCGAAGCACGCGCGGCCTCCTGCAGAGGAGGCGTGCTGGTACCAGTCCAAGCGCTTCTTTCGCATCGCTTCTACGCGCCTCCCCTCGCTTACCTCCCAGCGGAGCGGAAGCCACCTGGGAGCGGGTCAAGCAGCCAGGCGAGCGCAAGCACCCGAAATCGCAAAGGAGCAGGCAGAGGTCGCCCGCCAGAGGCAAAGCATGGAGTCAGTGCCGCAGGAGAGCACCAACCTGTCATGGCTCCCCAACCCCACTCAACGTCTCTCCGCCCATCTTTGAAGCAGCCGGGCTGGCTGGTCGTGGTGAGCATTGAAGCGCGCCTTGACGACCTCGAGCACTCGAGCCGAGATTTGCCGAGAAAGGAAGAAGCAAAAGCCCGCTGCCCAGTGATGATGGCCACCGGATAAGCTGCGCAAGCACGTGGACAGTTGCCTGCCAGTCTCAACTTCGGATCGCGGTCGCGGGACGCGTCTGATTTGCCTGAGATCCCAGAAGCGTAGGCACGCATCCTTCGCAAAGCGGAGGCTTCCAGAGCGCAGAGCGGCGACTGCTCAGGGAATGCACCTCTCCGGTGGTGAGGACCTGATATGGCACCTCCGAAGCAGCACAGGTGCCCACGTCCACAAGATGTCTCTGGAGTCCCCACATTGGGGTTGTAGTCCACATCTTTGGCGCCAAACAGGTGAACACCGTCCTGCTGCGTTCGAGCTGCCGTTGCTCAGCTTGGCTCTCACTTTGAACGGCCTTTCGGAAAGCCAGCCGGCTCGTTCGCAGGTCCCACGTCTTCAGGTGCCCGTCATCCACCTTACCGTGGCTTTCAAGACGACCCCTGCAAGCCATGCAGATGCCGCGTGCTTTGAGAAGTCCGCCGTGCTCAGCTGCTGCCGGTGGTGAGGATCCAGACAGGCTCCCATGCACCTATCTTTGCCCAGTCACGCCTTCCCCCCCAAACTCCCCCTGGGGAGCGTCCCTCCTTGCCTCTGCCCAACATGCAAAGTCACCTGGCGGGAGAGCTTCCCGCTGCCAACGTTGAAGGTCTGGACTGCCTGCGGCACGTCTTGCTTCCGGGCAGAAGTTCTGCTTCGGCTTCGGAGTATCACGAAGGGTTTAGGGCAAGCTGCAACGTGTCTGAGATCTTTGTCTACACTGCTCCATCGTTCTGCACGACTCGTCGATCAATTTGTACCAAGAGAATGCCACCGGCAGTGTCTTTACGATGCTGTCGTGGCCTCGGCGTCTGCCACGACGATGCAGCCCTCTTGGTGGGGATCCCAGAGCGCAGTCTTGACCTGACGTGCTCAGACGCTTCCGCGAGGTCTGAGGCTTTCTGGCTGGGCATGGGACGGCGCTCAAGGGGTTGTCCTCATCACTCAGGGCCAAGGGCTGCTGGGAGACCTGCGGTCTCGAAGAAAGAGTCTCGGCTCTCTCTCTTCGCCTTCGCTTTCCCGGACCTGGGAGCCGTCGGTGCGGATCAGCCGAAGGCTCGGGCCTTTCGCACAAAAGCTCCCGGAAACTCTGCTTCTGCGCCTTGTTCTTTGGCGACTGGGCGCCGGGCTGCTCTTGCCACCGGAGTGGCACAAACCGGACGTCAGGACCTAACAAGAACACATGCAGAAAGGGCAGGGCGCGGGGACCGAAGGGAGGAAAACAAAAGCAGCGTCGGCCGTTCGGTTTGCGCAAGAAAGCACTTGGGGCTGCACCGTCTGAGAATCTGAATCTGAAGGCGATGGACTGATGAGCCACACCTGTGATGGCGTGCTTTCCCCTCCCCTTCCTCCATTGCATCCGCCCTTTCGTCTGAACCTCGTCCTCGATTTCGAAGGACTGCTTGCCTCAGCAACGGCGTCGGCGATGGCCACCTATCCTAGATCCCAGGTTGCCCTCGGCAACCGGCAGGAGACTTCCGCTGTCTCCTCAGAAAACTCCACCTGCATCTGGGCAACTTAGCAACTTCAATCACACGCACAGACTGCTAGGCCCTGGACGACGTGGATCTGATTCTTGTTTTGGAGATCGCAGGTGCCTGGTTCATTTCTCCAAAGCCCTTGATCCAAAGCCGCCCACGGACCCGGCACAGTCCGCCTACCATAAAACGATGGCGCCCAGGGTCTCCTGGCCTGGAGGGGTGCTCCGGGGCCCGGATGGGACGCAAGACGGACGCACACAGAAGCAGCACGGACAGCAGCATGCACATCGGCTGCAGAACGCTCTGCGGGAAGCGAGGGGCCCCGGCACTGCGGCGACGACTCGCGAGGGTTGGCGGCAGAGCCATACCTGCCGCAAAGCCATGGCCGAACATGGCCGAAAGGCCGAGAGGCCGTTGGGGCCCCCGACTCCGGCTCGTGGTGGCGCCGCCATCAGAAGGGCGCCGCAGCCGCACCGACCGCAAGCTCCGCCATGGCAGCGCGGGCTGGAAATCGGCTGACTGTTGCTCTGTCAATTCTGGGTTCTGAGACCGGCAGAAGCCGAGTTGCTGGGTTCTTGGTTCCTTGGGCGCGACACGCGAGAGCATCCGGAGCCCGAGCAGGAATCCAGCAAGTTTGGCTGCAAGGCTTGCAAGTCAACGCTGAGTCCTGCAGAGCAGCCCTACGCGCAGGCACATGTGGGCCGGGCTCAACATTTTCAATCGACGGGCGAGTACTGCCTTTCGAGTGTGGGAGGAACGGAAACACCTCTGGGAACGTCCGGAACCTCGTCGTCGACCTCGCACCGCTGAGGCCGCAGTAGCTGCTTTCAATTACGCGGCTGCGTGCCCCGATTCCGTTCGATTGCTTGCTACTTGGTGCTCCTGCTCCTCTCCTGCATTCAACGTGTAATTACTTCTTAGCACTCTCGATCCCTATCGCGTTTGCAGCTTTTGCTTCGTGCTGCCTGCAGTTTGTGCTTCTTGGTGCTCTCTACCCCTAACCGGGCCCTAACCGTTTGCAGTGTGTGGATCAACGGGGGTGACGGTTGCAGCGGAGATCAAAAAAAATGTTAACGGAAACCAACGCTGGAGACGTAGCAGAAACCGGTCGGCGCGGGGCCTGTAGCGGAAACCAGGGAGCCATCCCGGTATACTTCCGGCTGTTTCCTATCCAGTTTGCACAGCATGCGTTTATTTGTGCTTTCTAACCCTCACCTGTTCGCAGCATGTGCTGGTTGGCGCTGTCTACTACCCTTTCCTGTTTGCAGCACATGCTTCCTGTTGCTTTCTACCCCTATCATGTTTGTACCATATGCTATTTCGTGTTCTCTAACCTTTTCCGCTGTTCGCAGTTTGCAGCGGTTGACTCTTGGTGATCGCTCTCCCTGTCCTGCTGCTGTGTGTGTGGTCCATGAGACTCTATAGGCCCTGCCCTGCTAGCTTGGTGTACTTCTTGGTGGCGTTTTGTTCCTGGCTAACGCAGCCTGCGCTTCCTGGTATCCTGTTTGCAACATGTTTGGTGCTTCTAGCCCTGTCCTGCTGGCTGCCCACTTCGCCGATTCACGTTATCCTTCGTTTCACTGAGACTTGTGATTACGATGTCCATGGCTCCGGTTGGAATATGTTTCTCCCTGCAAAGCAACTGCATGCGCTCAGATCTTTGCCTTAGCAGAAGCAGCAGAACTGCACTCGCCCCCTCTACCCCCGCGCCGTGGCAAAACGGCAGTTTCCCGCCACACAATGCCACACAAATAAGGACAAACATAAGAACTCCCCCCCCCCCCCCCC